GGGGGGGGGCGGGCGGTCCCCTGCCGCTGTCGAGGCGGTGAGGGAAGCAGTGCTCTAGTTTTCTTGGAAAGGTGAAAGTCTATGACGGCCGCATCAGAGAATTTTTAGTTTTAGCAACCCTAGACTTCATTTTAACCAGCTGAGATGGTATGACTCAAAACTGAGAGCTTTAATGCTCATCCCCGCATAAATGTGTAAAAAAAAAAAGTAAAGAGTCATCTTTTCAGAAAGAATTAGCCTTCTGTCATACCGTGTCTTCTGTTTTCAAAACCTTTTCCCCCTACTTTCTCCCACACCAAAGATCTTCACTGATCTTCATCATGTATTCACTGACCCTAATGAGCAGAAACATGCGGGTGCGATAGTCTTCCCCAGTAGAGCTCCCCAGGTACGCGGCTAGCACTTTCTGTGGGGTTAGTGTGCCTCCATTCTACTGATTCGTGAACGTTTTATAACGTGTAGTGCCTGGAGGAATACTGGAAACTAGATGTACACAACTAAGGAAATTTCCGGAGCGGTTCTAGCCAGCTTCGTTTTAAGTTTTCAAAATAAAACGAAACTGGAATAATCCCAGACGCTGTTTTTAAGATATACAGCCAGTGTGTGTAAAATTCTCTCCTATAAAATATCCGTGCAATATTTCACACGAAATACGCATATGACACTGTCTTCCGACATGTTTTTTTCTGTGCCTTTGCGCAGCATATATTTAGACTGCGCTAGACGTATTACAGGCTGCACTGGGAAGGACCCAGCTTAGAAAGCAACTATAGCCAGTAAGAAGCTCCTAGGCATGTTGACGCCGTAGCGGCGACGGGGTTAGGAATAGAACTGCATTTTTAATCTCTCCGAAGGCAAAGGGAAGCGTGGGAGCCGCGCTACCGGGAGACGGACTTCCCTGTACGCTCGCATCCCCTGGCCGAGTACTCCACGGAAAAGCCCCCGGAGTAAAAGCTAAACCGCGGCGATGTCCCGAGACGATTTCCCGGCGCGGCCAGCCGCAGCAGGGACGTCGCCGCCA